GGGTGCATTTCATATGACGCAATCCAAGGACATGTTTTAAACGATGTTCACATTCCTTTAAAAATATAATAAAAGCGGTAAAGAGTTAAAATTTGCACATGAGCTCATAATTGTATAAAATCAGATAAACAAGCCGAATATGACAGTTGAGCGACCGTGCTAGAACCACGGAACTCGGGAATGCCTAACACCTTCTCCCGGGTTAACAGAATTCCTTATCCGGATTTCTGGTTCGCGGACAGTAATACAGAGTCATTCTTTTCCTCGATTCGGGATTAAATTGGTGACTTGGGACACCCTAAATCTCCCAAGTGGCGACTCTGAAATAAATAAACAAATCTCGTTTCGATTGTTCTTTAATTGGAAAATTGGAAAAACTCTTTCACCCCTTGCGGGGACAGAAAAAGGAGGTGTGACACAACTTACAGAGAGGGTTGGCAATTTTTGAGAAGTCTCTTATGAATCTCCGGTAGAAACTGGCATGGCCGAGGAAGCTCCTGATTGCCTTGACTGAAGTTGGAGGTGGCAACTTTGTTATCACGTCAACTTTAGCGCGATCCACCTCAATTCCTTTACTTGACACCCGGTGCCCCGATACTATGCCCTCTTGTACCATGAAATGGCTCTTCTCCCAATTAAGAACCATGTTAGTCTCAATACACCGTTTCAGCACCCGAGTTAGATTTATAAGGCACTCATCAAATGAGTTCCCCACCGTTGAGAAATCATCTATGAATACCTCCATTATGTCCTCTACCATATCAGTGAATATGGCCATCATTCACCTTTGGAATGTGGCGGGTGAATTACATAGGCCAAAGGGCATCCTCCGAAAGGCATAAATGTCATATGGGCAAGTGAAGGAGGTCTTCTCTTTGTCCTCTAGTGCAATGGAGATTTTATTTTACCCTGAGTACTCATCCAGAAAACAGAAGTATGACCTCCCTACCAATCTGTCTAATATCTGATCAATGAAGGAAAGTGGAAAGTGGTCTTTCCGGGTGGCCAGATTTAACTTTCTATAGTCCATGCAAATTCTCCAGCCCGTGACGGTTTGTGTTGAGATCAGTTCATTGTTATCGTTTTTAATCACCGTCATGCCACCCTTCTTAGGCACACATTGCACCGGGCTAACCCAGCTGCTGTTAGAGATTGGGAAAATGATTCCCGCATCTAACCACTTTATCACTTCTTTCTTCACCGCTTCCTTCATGTTTGGGTTCAGCCTTATTTGGTGTTCCTTGGAAGGTTTGTGTCCCTCTTCTAGAAGAATTTTATGTATACAGTAGGCGGGGCTGATCCCCTTAATGTCTGCCATGGTCCACCCAATTGCAGTCTTACACTCCTTAAGTACCTGCAAGAGTTGTTGTGCCTGCACATCTAACAAACTAGATGAGATAATAACAAGTAACGTGGAGTCAGGTCCAAGGAACTCATATCTGAGATGGGCGGGCAGTGGTTTCAATTCCAGCTTTGGTGGTTCTTCGATGGATGGCTTGGCTGGAGGAGTTTCTCTATTTTCTAAGTGCAAGGGCTCAAATTCAAGAGTTCTATCCCAAAACCCTCTGCCCTCTAATGCCAACACCCATTCTGCCAGTTCTTCTCCATTCACCTCATCTAAATTCATCAAACATACAGTAAGAGGGTCCTCAATAGTCAGCATCTCATCATAAATTTCTACAATTACATCCACGACATCAATAAGAGAGCAATTGGCGAATTTACTTGGTCGCCTCATAGATTTTTGCACATTGAATGTTATCTCTTCATTGTTCAATCTCATATTGAGCTCCCCAGTCTCACAATCAATGAGAGCTCTCCCAGTGGCTAAGAATGGCCTTTCCAAAATTATGGGAATTTCTTCATCCACCTTGCAGTCTAAGATCACAAAATCTACAGGGAACACAAATTTCCCTACCTGAATCAACACATCATCCAGGTTACCAGAGGGTCTTTTTATATTCCTGTCAGCCAGCTGCAATAAGATAGAAGTAGGTCTAGCTCTTCCAATCCCCAGCCTCTTATAAATCGCCAGGGGCATAATATTTATGCTAGCCCCTAGATCACAAAGTGCCTTAGCAAAAGTAAAATTACCAATGGTGCAGGGAATTGTGAAACTCCCCGGATCAGACAGCTTTTCAGCATTTGGTCTAGTCACCACCGCACTGCAGGTCTGAGTAAGAGTCATTGTGGCCAAGTCTTGGAAATCGAATTTTCGGGACATCAAGTCCTTCATCAATTTTGCATACCTATGCATCTCTTTCAAAGCATTTATCAATGGGATATTTACTTGGATTTGTTTCAGCATCTCCAAGAATTTCTTATATTGCTCCTCTTTTTGGTACTTGGCCAGGCTCTTAGGGAATGGTGCTGGAGGTCTCTTCTTCCCAATGATTTGGGATTGCTCTTTTTCAGCTGCCACCTCAACTACTTGTTCCTGGGCTGTCTCAGTCTCACTCTGAATGTTATGTTCTTCCTGGGCAAGCTGGACTGTCACCTTTGTCATTTTCGTTGACTCATCTAGCTTAGTAGGCACTGGTATAAGTGTCTCAGCCTGTCTTCTTTCTCGAGCCCTCTCTTGATCCACGTCTAAATCTCTGCTATTCCGTAGACTCACTATTATCAACTGCTTCGGGCCTTGATCTTTTGGGTTTATTTGAGTGTGTGCAGGTAATGTTCCATGGGGGCGATTGTTTAGAGACATCAAAATTTGGCCCATCTGCACTTCAATATTCTTGATAGCTGAATCATATGCATCTACTCTTTCACTAATTTTTGAATTAGACCCAATAACCTGCTGCATCATTGCCTCAAGTCTAGCAAAACCATCTTCCTGTCATCCACCATGTTGCTGCTGAGGAGGGTGATACCCCTACTATTGATTTTGGGTGTTATATACCCGTGGCCTTAGGTAAGGTGCCATATTGTTAGGAGGTCTCATATCTCCCATGTTCCCATTGTTGAATTGTGGCTGGACTGGCCTGTACTGTTGATTTTGCTGGCCCCAATTCTGACCACCCTGTCTCTGGCCTCCATAATTAGACACATAGTTCATGTCTTCAGGGTAGTGATAATGATCATGTTCTGCATTCCACTGGTTACCAATTGGCTAACTAATACAAGATGTGCACAAGCCCCCATTGGTAGTATCTACGATGTGTACTTGTTGTTTCTGCCCTGACTCTTCCACCTTTTTGGTGAGGATACTCATCTGTGTCAATAAGGTGGCCATATTTTTAGCCATAGATTTGGATGGATCTAAGGGCAGTGAGTGAACCATTGGAGTGATAGGTGCATTCTTGGTTGTCCATCCTGAATTTTGTTCCGTCTTGTCAATCAGACTCTGGTCTTCTCTCCATGTTTTGCTCAAAAATACTCCACCAGCTGAAGCATCAACAATGTTCTTCACGTTATCTGACAATCCTATGTAAAACTATTGTCCCAACATCAGATCTGGAATACCATGGTGCGGACATATAACCGGCATCCCTTTGAATAGTTCCCATGTTTCATGCAGTGTCTCCATTGGTCTCTGTTTGAAACTCAAAATTTCATCAATTTGTTGAGAAATCTTGTTGGGTGGGTGGAACTTGTTCACAAATTGCTTGACTAACTCCTCCCAAGTTGTTATGGAATTAATGGGGAGTGAGTTTAGCCAGGTCTGGGCAGCTCCTGTCATTGAGAATGGAAACAATAACAGCTTGATTGCTTCCGAAGTTACGTTGGGCTGCCTTTGGGTTTTGCAGATTGACAGGAAATTCTTTAAGTGTTGTTGAGGATCTTCGACTTGTGTCCCTAAAATAGTCCCTTGTTTTGCAACAAGTGCAACCTATTGTTCGTAATTTGGAATGATTCAGCTTGTATCTGCGCGACTAAAATCACTGTGGCCAGATTTTCAGCTGTGGGTTGTGCCCAATCATAGAGAGCAGCCTCTGACACAAGATGTGCCACTGGCGCTATTGGTACAACTAGGTCTACTTCGTGATCCCCCATATCTGGTTCGAATTGTTTAGTTGTTTGGTACAATCTCGAAATCCTGGCACGTGAACATGATCGCGAATGCTGGTTCGAATTGGTACAATCGGTCCCCAAACTTTCTGGCACGTGAACAGTTCACCGCGGTCGCGGTAAGACTGCGGCTCGACCGCGGTGAACGCTGAACATTCTGTATCGAACACTTGATCAGCCGCGGTTCCACCACGGTCGCGGTGGATTTCCCTCCGTCCATTTTTGCTTCTTTGTGCTCGGGTACTTCTTGATTTGGGTGTTTTCTTCACATTATTGCCTCCAAAACACTCCGTAGTGCTTCCTTACTTAGAATATTCCCTGCGAAGTAAAAAAACACCATTTAGAATATTTTGTTATCAATTTGCCTATAAAACAACAATAAAACATGATAATATTAAGGTGTAAATATCATCTATATTGCCTAACATCAACTTGATTACCGAACATTTCTTGAATTTCAGTGACTTGCGAGTGTTAGACTTGTCATCCAACTCAATTATCCTCAATTTAACCGCAACTTGGATGCCTCGTTGTCAACTTGACTTTATTGGCCTGCAGTCTTGCCAACTTGGTACACAGTTTCCCCAGTGGCTTCAGACACAAAGAGAGTTCTCATTTATTGATATCTCTCGCGCTAATATCTCTGATGTAGTACCCGATTGGTTCTGGAATCGTTCTGCAAAGGTATATCACATAGACCTTTCACACAACTATTTCAGAGGGGAAGTGCCTGAATTTACAGAAAGCGTTAGTCTTACAAAATTGGACCTGAGTGGGAACAATCTTCATGGTCCATTACCTCATTTTTCACCCAAGATGATGACCTTGGATTTGGCCGAGAATTCCTTTAATGGTACCCTTGCCCCTGTATGCGAATCACTTGTCATGAATAATTCCCTTGGTTATCTGGACCTATCTTCAAATTTTCTATCAGGACAACTTTCAGACTGTTGGAGATATGGGAAGAATTTGGAAGCATTGATATTAGCAAATAATAGCCTATCAGGGGAAATACCTCATTCAATCGGATATCTTGCTAATCTCATCTATCTACAATTACAAGGCAACATTTTCTCCAAAAATCTGCCTTCATCATTGGAGAACATAGCTGGACTAGAAATTCTTGATGTTTCCGAAAATAGGTTATCTGGAAATATACCATTTTGGATAGGGGAGAGTTTAAAGAGACTAATGATTCTTAAATTAAGCCGAAACAAGCTTGACGGAAACATTCCTTGGCAGATTTGCCAATTTAGATACTTGTATGATTTGGACCTTAGTTCCAATGCTCTATCAGGAACTATTCCAAGGTGTTTTAAAAATCTCCATACCTTGTCCGGGGTAGAGGAGGCTCCTTCCTTTACTTATGGACCCTATGCAGATTATAGGATTCATGGGACGCTCGTTGTTAAAGGGCGGTTTTATGTGTACGATTTTTCCTTGCCCTTGAGAGTAATTGATCTAGCAGAGAACCATTTATCAGGGGAGGTTCCTTCGGAAATCACCAGCCTTATTGCACTGAGGGGTTTGAATTTATCAAGGAATAGTTTCACAGGCACAATTCCTCGTGACATTGCCAACATGCGATATTTGGAATTTCTTGATCTTTCCTGGAATAAGCTGTCATGCAGCATTCCTCCAAGTATCGTAGAAATTCCATCTCTTGCGTTTGCGAATTTTTCTTTCAATGGTTTGACAGGGAAAATTCCATCTGGATGTCAATTTGCTACCTTCGAGAATAGTTCTTATGTTGGGAATCCAGACTTGTGCGGACTCCCAGTCTCAGAATTCTGCTCGGATCATTTAGATGACGACATTACGCACTGTGATAAGCAGGAAGTGCACGCCACTCAACACGGAGAAAACAACTGGCTGGAGGAATTTTCATTCTATATTAGCATGGGAATTGGATTCAACACAAGTTTCTGGGTATTTTGGGCTACTCTAATGTTGAAAAGGTCTTGGAGATATGCCTATATGAGGTTTCTGGATAACATGGGCAACAAGATTTATGTGTTTGCTGCCATAAGATTGAAAATGAACAAGCAGCAACGAGGGACGAGGGTGAGCAACCATCAGAAGAATAAAGTTTGTCCACATCGAGCATCTGGGAAAAAGTGATATATGTTTGGTTTTCTGTTTGCCAAGGGTCTTTTGGAAACAACCTCTCTATCATCATAAGGTAGAGGTAAGGTCTGCGTATACTTGACCCTCCTCATACCCCACTTGTGAGATTTCAATAGGTTTGTTGTTGTGTTGTTGTTGTTTGGTTTTCTGTTTGGCCAGTTCAATAAAATTTGTTGTGAGGTTCTCTTTTTGGTTTAATTTCATCAAGTGATTTAGTATGTTCAATAGTATCTTTTGGTTTTGTAAAACCTTTCTACTTATTATGTTTTCATGCTTAGTTGCATATTTTCTTTTTATCTTCTTCATTTTCCTTTATGATGTTATGAATTGTGAGAATGAAATTAGTTAGACATTTTCAGTTTTAATGAATTTTTCTTTTGTGAGTTCATATTCAAAAATATCTTTTGAAGGCCGTAATGAAAATGGAGCAACGCACATGAAGTTACATATAAACAAATGAAATAGTTGTATCCCAAACAAAAAATGTCATTATAGGACTGCAAGGGTTATGCTTCAATAGTTACATCTCAAAATCAAATATTTCTTTTTTCTTCATAAAAAGGGAATAAGCTTTTATGTAACAAAGATTCAAGAGGATATTATAGTGATAAAGCTAGATAAGTTGATCTAAGCCCACCATGGAGCTTCACCAGTTCTGAAGTCTGTTTCAACCCATGGGACAAACACCACCTTCCCATCATCAATGTCAGCATGAGCCAATGCCAAGGACTGTGCCAACCACAAAACACAATGTTATTATAGTAGTTGGAGGGGTTGTGGGGGGTTGGGGGGAGGATAGCATGGGATATGTTCAAATTAGAATTTTGTGCTATGCTAATATGATTGAAACCTTGACTAAGGGTTGATATTGCCTCTGGCCTTGCTATTCAGAGGCAAACTCCTAATCTAGAGCCGGTGAGGCCAGAATGAGTGCAATGTTGATATATGTACTCCCTTGGTTTCAATTTAGGTGATGTAGTTTGACTTGACATAAAATTTAAAAAAAAAAGACTTTTGAAACATATGGTCCTAAAAGCTTAAGGGCGAAAGTTTTGTAGAGCCATGACATTTGTATGGCTGTAAAAATTTTCATTAAGGGTAAAATGGTAAAATGAAAAGGTTAAAGTTAAATTGTTTCCAAATATATAAAAATGTAATTCATTTTGGAACAGATGTGTCATTTAAATTAAAACAGAGAGAGTATACATTTTAAATTCGTTTTTCGTATGTATACATAGTTCTAGCCGGAAACAATGGATTCAGTTAGACCAAACGAAGCCGCCTTAAATTTGTCTATGTCGTCAGGCTTAGGCTGAAGGGTAGATTATAAGAAAATATATAAAGATAGTTAGAGCATGGAAAATAGTGGGTACTATTGACTTACCAAAGGAGCAGGTCCTCTAACAACTCTTCCTTGGTTGTTATATTGAGATCCATGGCAGGGGCAAATAAACTTGTTCTCAGCAGCATTAAATGGCACAACACAACCAAGGTGAGTACACACAGCATTAATACCATAGGTTGCAAGTGTTCCATCATTCTCCACAACAAGGTAAGTAGGATCTCCCTAAAATTTCATCGAAAACAATATCACAACACCAGAATAAATCAAACTACCATGTTAGTATAATTGTCCAAACGATGCCATGAACAAGATGTCATTTCTTGTAATCTTAAGATCATCAAGCAAACACTGAATTCACAAATAAATTGTGATGCGATAAAAGAAAAGGTAACAGTACCTTTAGTCCTTGCGTGAGAGTTCGGTTGCCGGGTGGATGAGTTTTGAGCCATTCAGATGCAATGACATCATTACCTAATGCATCCTTGGCAGGGGTTCCACCACTACCACCCCCTGACCTGTTGATTAATTCCGAATGGAACGACAAAGCATGAGTCAAGGTTAGTAATGCAGACAATATTTGAATGACAACAGAGTCTAGATAGATCGAGTCCGTCTAGAGATACCAAAGCATAGCATACCAGTGATTCTTGCATATAACAGCATTTTTTTTTCCTTTAGCTTTTGTTAGTATAAAGGAATTGTTAAGATATCAAGTGTCCATTGGCATTATATTGGTCTATAAGGTATAATTTGACTCAATATGAAACTTGGAAACATAAACCATGATATCCCCATATTAGCTTAGAGAAGATCAATACGGACAATGTGTATGAAGTCTTGTGATTTAGTAAATGTTTGATATCGTTCAGTAGGACGAAAAATTCAGGCTTATCATTTCAGGACAGTTTACGGCTTTGAGGTTAAAACTTTACAGCAATTGCTAAAATCTGCAGAGATAAAACAGTTGCACATGCTAAGAAACTTGAACCTACACATTGGAGTATCAGTTGATGAATCAACAAACCAAAAGCTCAACCACAAGAAAAGAAGCTACTCTAGCAACATAAAATTTCCAAGTCGCAGAAACAAAAAGGTAATAATTTGAAACAACCTTACGTATCGTTAGTTAATATAATAATTTTTACACTATCAAGCTACAACATACAGTTTGGTATAATATAGAATAACGATGTACTGACAAGAACAAATCCCAAGGACATGCAGAATAAATTGAATTGGGAAGTAATATCACTCCTAGACCCCAAATATAAGATCCGATCCTAGAAAATCATTTTGTATCTCTCGAAAAAGGTGATTCAAATGATGAGATTTGGTATGGGATTGATGAGCTTGATATTCCAATCATTCTTGTTAGACAATTAATTAAACTTGTTATAGGAGGTTTCTTGCCTTATCTTCAAAATAATTATTTTCACTTATTATGAACATTTACTAGAATGTAGTATCTTCTATGTGATAGAATACTTTTAAACTATGAGTATATAATTATATATAAGTTCAATTCAACAAACAGGGGTATAATTTAAACATGGGCGGAACTACAATATTAATTAAGGCTTTGAACAACTTTTGCTTAGATTCTGTATTTGTATTAAGAAATTCATTAAATATGTATGAATGTATAATTGCAAACCAACTAACTAAAACGAGCTATATATTTTGTGATAAGTTCAGAAACCATAAACTTCACATTCTTGCTCGAAATAGGGTCTAATTTGTGATAAAGGGAGGAAGAACTAACCCAGGTGGTGCAAAGAAAGTAGCATAAGGTACCAACATCCCAGCAGTGGGTAGAGAAAGAGCACCCAAAAGAAGCAAATTCATGAGATTCCTCTTTTCCATATCAGGCACTCTATCATCTGCTGGAATGCTTGTAGCCATGCACTTGACTTTCATCCTCTTATCCTTTCCCAATCCATGACTGTTAATCTTCATTGGCTTCAGTAGCAAACATTGTGAAACTGAAGACAAACCACTCTTGCTCGAGCATAGCTGAAAAATATGGAAAAACAAGACAAAATTATTAACTATTGCATGCCCATAATAGAAGAAGCTATCTTATGAAGAATGAAGATAGTTTCAGTTTAATTACCTGAGTTACTGGAGAAAGAGTAGAAGAAGCCATTTCAGNGGGTAAGCAACTTGTAGCGGATGTATGGTGTCCACAGTTGGTCTATCATTAGATAAGGCAGTAGCCAGTAGAGCCACACACTTGGATAGTAGCTTTCTGGAATTTTTTCTCAATTTTTTCTATTTATCTATTCGGATTATATCTTAGTATTAATTATCCTGTTTTCATTTTCAGCTCTGTTTTCTTACACTTTTGAGGGACATATAAATAAAGAAAAACTAATCTAAGCCGTCCACCAATTGCTTAAAGGCAAAGTAGTTTAATGAGTATTTAATATAGAGAGAGTTTCGGAAACCACTATATTTTAGTGATTATTAGCTTGTTATAGCTACCATTTACTAAATTACTTTCTATAGCTATGTTTTTAGTTGTTATTGACTGTATTCGATATATTTTTGCTACTGTATTTTTCAGTTGTTATAGACTGTATTCGATGTATTTTTGCTACTGCATTCATGAATACAGTAGCAAAACTCGGCGGAAAACAGGGGAATCCAGCTAAGCAAAGAATGTATTGGACTGTATTCACAAGCTGTATTCGTGAATACAGTAACATAATTTGCTTAAAAAAGGGTGTTCAGCTGTTTAAAAATAGTAAGTGAATCAATTAACACGATAGACTCCTAATATAACTCAACAAACTCAATTGTGACACACAAATTTGTATTTCTAGTTATAAAAAAGATTCTCAACCGAAAAACTCCCCAAAAACAGAGCAATCTTCAGAGATTCAATCCATCATTTTGTTTTTTAGTGGTATCTATACAAATAGATTTATATATTTAAATTATATAATTACATTGAATACAGTTAAATACATAAAAATACATTGAATACATGAAGTATAGCTGGTCATCTATAGTGCAAAAACATATGAATACATACTGCAGATATATTTGAATACATAAAATATATTAATTAAAAAAATATATCAATACATTCGTGGAATTCAGCGAGACAGTGAATACAATGAAATACATGTAATACAATGGGATACATTGAAATACAATGAAAAAAGATAATGAATACAATGAAATACATGGAATACAACGAGATGCATTGAAATACAATGAAAAAAAAAGTAACAGACTCTTCAAGTTCCTCAGCCCCAAACCTCGCCCCCAATTCATCGAGGGGTTTAGGGGTGACAAAACAAGGAAGGGGGAAGTGGTCGCCAGCCGAATCTGTCGTTGGCGGAACCCCTGCTAGGGTTTCTAAAAGCAGATCTGGCGAACACGCACCAAATTAAAGGGAAAAGGGAATAAGTTTTAAAGGAGATATGTTAATATAAGGGCGGGATCTCTCGACTCTATAGCGTCCAAAGAGCACAATCACAGAATCACACATGATCTATATTGACGGCGATGAGCTTGATGATGGAGAGCAGATAGATGGAGATATTGGGGCTTCCAGGTAGAGCTATTTGCAGATAAGTTTGAAAACAACTCAGAGTTAGTCTTAGAACCAACATTATTTGATCAAACATGCCTTCAGAAACTTATGGAAAACTTTCCTTTTGAAACTATCAGCTTATTTTCTCCTCACATCGATAAGCAGATCAGAGTAAAGTGCAAAATATTAGCTAGTCTCAAAGGAGGCGGTGAAGATGTGTAACTGAATGATCGTCAAGCACCTAACCCGGGGGAAAAAGAGAAGAAAGAGGAAAGAGAAAGGAGGAGAGAGGGAAGAGAGAGGGAGAGAGAAAAATAATACACACCGTATTTAATGGCTTAAAGGTAGGAAGTTGTCATAAATAGATATTTTGCTAT